AGATCATGAACATTTTTTCTTTTTATAGAGATTATTGTACCGTGATTTGTTTGACAAAGTCTGAACTCAGACGTGCGTGAAAAAAATATAGGTAACTTCATCAATGGATAGGATCGTTTCGGTGTCACGTAAAACTGAATGATCTGTGTTAAGATACAGGCCTTTTTTCATTATCACCGCAAATACTTGGAAGAAGGTGAATGTCACTGGGAACTTATTCGTTTTGCTAAATGGTATATTGTTTATCGTTGGCACATTACATTTTCGGGTACGTAGCTTGTTGGTACAGGTCAGGCGGTTATGCTGGACGACTGATCCGGTGCTTGATTGAGTGACTGTTTTTTGTAGTACATCTTTATGTGGTGAACAGCAGGCGAGTTGGACCCTCTATAGTCTCAAAGACATGCAGGTCAGTGATGAAGGAGCGTTAGACACAGCTGTTTGGAATCGTTAAGAGAAGAGTCGCAATGATAGATAAAAAGATTAAGTAAAGTTCATGTATGTGAGGTAATAATTGTGGTCTGTTGGTGCGGTTAACAATGACTGAGTACCGGAAATCGCTTTAAGGTTTACAACAGTGTCGTCGTTTTCGCCATAACAATGAATAACTACGATTGGAATTGAAGTAATGGGAGTTACTTGTCTCTGATTGATCAGTTCACTATTGATAATGAATAACCTTTCACTGTTTAATGTTTGAAATCAAACGAAATTACTTACCGGTTATTTTTGTTTGGGCACGCTTTTTTTAAACCTGGGCATTTTTGAACTCAGAGGGTTGCTTTGAAGCATGCTCATTGTTCATTTAGACTGTATATGTATCACACATTCTTGGTGGAGCTCAGCGCTTTAGGACAACGTGATCCGTGTGGATTATACTAGTCTGTTTCATTCCGGCCTGGCATCATACCGCATTCATCCATCAGTCATCAGGTTTTTTAAAATTTAGATTGCATATTGTATCTGTACAACAGATGTTCCTTGTTTTGACTGACATTAATCGTGGAAGCACTCATCCATTAAGCGTGGAGTTGTGGCATTACATGTTGTCAATGATGATAATGATGGTGGTGGTGATAGCAGTTTTCTCTCCGGGTTTGCTTTTTAGTTCCTGACCTATTTGCCTGCAAGCGAGGTAACTCCAATTCATGGTATCACATCGTCTACTATTTGGAGCATGTTCATAAACTAGTCTTTGTCAGAGTCCCGACTGTCCCGTACCATCGATCCACATTGTTCAAATAATAGGCGTATATTTTATGCACACTGGGTCCACGGTCTCGTAGACTATTCTTGCTCCGTATATACTACTCGTACTCGTACGATAAAGCGCACTTTCGGCTATGCGATGAAGCTGACAATAATTTATTCAATGACGCATCGCATTACATTGTCTGGCTTGTTAACATTCCATGAATCTGTTCTGACATTTATGCATGTGTTCTTCACGCACCGTTGGAACCAATCGAGTTTTGATATTTATCATCATCATCATCATAACAGATAGCTTTGCTAAAGTTGATTTGATAATAATGTTTACTTGTCACCTCGTTTCTCCCCTTCTCTGTCTATTTCTCTATCTTTTGTCCTTCTACCAGCGAATCGGCGAATGTTCCCAGTGTGTTAGGTTGTACATGTGAAAATAAAAAAAGCATCCTTTCTGTTCCTTCCCTGTCGGGTGCTTTCATTGTTTGTCGAACGTTTGTTTGCCTGCCTGACATTCATCCAACATGATGGAACATCCGTTTTCAGTGAAAGCCACAATTTGCTGTTGATTCCTTTACTGTTATTTTCGACGAGAAATACAAAGACTGTGTATTGTACCGAACGAAATCAGTGCTTGCTTTCGTGTGATCCCGTAGTTCCCGATTGTCTTCTTGACTGTACCCGTGTACCTCTTTTGAATCTACTCATTATAACCGTTTGTCTGTCCGTCTGTTCAATTATTCATTCCCTGCATGAGTCAACCAGCCAATCGGTTAATCAATTAGTCCATTAATCAGGCAATCCATCAGTCCTTGTACCCTGTTTTGTTCCTGTCTTATCACTCCGCGTTGTGTTATCTATTGTAGTCGATTTCTGTGTTTGTCTTTCTTGCATCTTTTTGACTTGATGTTGTGATGTTACCAATGACTCTCGTCCATCTGCGATCCTAAACGATACAGTCCAATTTCGATTAATGATCTGTTATTTTCTTTGATTCTCCCATCGGGATTAAATCATGTTTTCTTCGATTTCAGATGTCACAGGGCTTCAGCTTCCGGAAGCTGTGGGCTTTCACCGGCCCTGGTTTCCTGATGAGCATTGCCTATTTAGACCCGGGCAATATCGAGTCGGATCTACAAAGTGGTGCAATTGCCAAGTTTCAGGTGAGATACTTTGAACTGTTGTCTGTGCTGCTTCACTGTGATATATTTAGCCACCGCGACCTAGATGGTCAAGTACTTCTTTTGCAACACGACAGCTACTACCCAACACTTCGCCTAATCCCGACATTGCTTGTCTATTTGCCCCAGTAGATTAATGTAGTGTGAAGTTGACAAGGAATTTCAAACACCTCATACATGCCTGACTGAGGTAGGGTAGATTGTTCCATTCGGTGTCGAAACGGATCCCGCTTTAGTGATTATCCTTGCCTTTCCAGCGATCCGATCAAATGACCAATTTCGGTGATATGCAAATAAACCTCTTTTTATTGTACAAGAATCAGCACCTATTCGAGATAGCATCAGATTAGAGAAGCGCACAGATGAGTTTCCCAAGTTAGCATCATGCAGGTCACAGAACAGAATATGTTTGATTCATTGCAACGTTTTTGGACAGTCCAGAGTAAATTTCGACCCGCATTATTCGTTTGAGATAGGTGATTGAGGCTTGTTTCAAGGTGATGAATGTCAGGTCGAGCAATGTGATCAGCATTGTCGGACTTTGGAAAAGAGAAAGAGGAGGTAAACTGAGGGTTTGAAAAAGTAATTTCTGTGGGCTTTATTGTTCTCGTTCTGATGCTAACTGCTTACCCAAGCGATTTGCAACAGGGGGCATCACACTGCCTTCATCGCTCAATCAAGAACAAAATCGTTTCCCGTACNTTAAAGGCAATATCGGAAATCGAATGATGTTGGACAGGATGATTTTTGTCAGTGTTCATTCATTTCTCTGTTTTTTTAAGTTCATATTCTGTATGTGATTTGCCCAGTCCCATCGCTTGAGCTTTGTGAATGTTCGCATTCTCTAGATTCTTGCGTGTGAATTTGTCTGCTTCTAAGTACTGAACAGTGCCTGTTTGTGTGCTTCTTTTCAATGAGCAATGTCATCCCTTCCCCTGCACTCGCTGCAGCCAAGCTTCATTATACGCGGTGTACTGTCCGCGTCATCAATTCATTTTCACATGCATTGACCTTGAGGTCGTGTGATCCGGTATTGAGATTCGAAATCTCGTCCTCACTTAACAATCACACAGCATGTCGAACCCCGCCGTGAGTTCATCACTCACTCATTCACTCACAATTTCTTAGTCACTACCACCATCTAGCTGATTGTATGACCATCTACAAGGTCATGTTCCACCTCACCCATCCACTGTTTGTAAATCCGACCTTGTGCGTCTGTTTATGTGAGGCGTTTTTTCCGTTCTCATGAATATGCTTCTGGTGCGTGTGCATTTTGTACGGCTGTTTTGCAAATTTTAATTTCAATCCCCTCGCACTCACGCGCAACATTACGTAACTTGCAAACACTCGGTTAAATGGCCCAATCGTAATTCATGTGCAGATATCATCTCGCTCGCCTTTGTTCCCGTCTTGTAACAGTTTATCGATCGCAGCGCAAGTGTCTAGTGGATTGACGATCCTGACCACATTCTTTGGCATGCTTTCCAACATTATCCTGCTAGTCGCATGTTCGCAAGACCGAAAAGGTAAAATATGTTTTTAATGTGAAACTGGCATTGCGCTAGATCTCCCGTGAACAGAGTTAAAGACGCAACATGCTGTTGGCTTCATCAGACGCTTATGATTTCAAATCTTTCGTTTATTAGGAGTGCAGTGGTGTAATCCAAGGTTGAGCCTGGTCTCTTCCTATGGTACATTAATTTAGAAAGAAATATCCGTCAGCGACATGAACTGAAGATTTGGGAAGCATATATCGACTGAAGAGGGTGAGACGCAGTTTAACCACGGTGGTCATTAAACCGAATTTACTACGGGTGCATTCGCACCTCTTCAAGCAGTCTGTGTTGTAATAAACTTTAATAACGAGAACGCTATTGTTATGGATTGTGTTATATGTTGTCCAGACTATCCTATCAACTTGATTTTTGCCCCTGCACTGTTTCCATCAAATACGATACTATACGAAGACAGTGGTTGTAATGTTTCAGTTTGACAGACTAGCACCTTCAGCATTCACTGGGCAGATTTAATATCCATACGACAGTGCTACTCGCTTTGTGACACTGTACCCTTGACCTTGGAAATCATTATTGATCTCCGGTCTACATCTATCAAGTGGATTGAATTTTACATTGTAACACAATAACAATGATTCCCCATCTCCTGTGTGGGTTAGAATGTTCGCGATGGTACGCGTGGCGGATAAAGAGTATGGAACCTAAACGACTCTCTCCTCGCGAGAGAATCTCATTCAGGAATTTATTTTGATTTTAATGTCTAGCGCTCGAATGCGTAACAAAATCCGAAACCTCTGTTCAGGTCAGTATTTTTCTTCTCAAGTACGAGTTTCGGACATTTCAAACACCACTCTATCACATGACTTGCTTCATGGGTAGAAGTGTGATCTATCTCTTAAGAAAATATTACCAAGGAGGTGAGATGAGTTCCATCACCCAATTGCACTTGCTTCAATAAATTTCAAGTCTTGTCTCTAATGTCATATTAACAACCCTGAACCTAGTACCGCGTTCAACCTCTGGTTGCATTGCCAAGAAACACTGAGCAATGGTTGATGTATTGATTTCAATCATCCAGTTGCCATCATGACGATTCGGATAGTCTCATTTGGCTATCTATACACATTTTGTACACTATGTACATTGTGTATATACTTTGGAATGTCGTTTCCATTGTGCTTCTTCAAGGTAAACTTGTCAAACGGTGCCCCCAGAGGTCGTGTGTTCGAATTCCGCCATCGCTATTAAACTTCTCCGTTTTTCCCCCTTAGGTAACCTTGAATTGATCACAGCCCCGTTCCTGCGAATTGTCGGTACAATTGTATATTCAATGAGTAAAGACGATGTAAAACCGCTTATTATTGACTTATTATTATTATTATTATTACTAACTTCCTGTCTATTTGTGTCATCTGGCTAGTTCCGCACCCCATTGAAATTCAGAAATGGGGTCGGAATTAGAGTACGAAGACAGCTGTTCTCTAGTCAGAGGTATGGATATTCAGTAGCTTTGAGCCGTCGCTCAAACAGGATGCTGACCTCGGTCATCTTTGGTGAAAAAGATAGTCACTCGGTTTTGAGACGCCGGTTCTTTTCCTAGCCCTAGCTCACTGTGCTTATCAACACAAACGT